GTGCCCAGCAGGTGTGGACTTCATGGAGTTCAAAGGCCACTGGGGTAGGGGGAGTGAAAGCAAGTGAGCAAGTATGTATGAGTAATTACAAATTGTTAAAATACCTATAAGGTGGGAAAGGGGTGCTGAGAGAGAGTGCAAAGCAGGCACTCTACCTTGTTCAAGGTGGTCAGGAAGGAGGCCTGAGAAGGCATTTACTTAGAGACCCAAGGAGAGGGAGGGGCAAGTGGGGAGAGGGAAAGGAATACTGGAAAAGGTCTGGAGCTTGGAATGTTGGACAGAAAGAAGGCTGAAGTGGGTTGAATGGTGGCTCTTTCCCCTCCCAGATTAGACTACTCAGAACCTTCGAACATGGCCTTAATTAGAAAAAGGGTCTTGGTAGATATAACTGAGAATCTCCAAATTAAGAGAAGAGATCATCCTGACTGGGGTGGGCCCTAAATCCAATGACAGGTGTCCTTAGAGGAGTAGAGAAGACCACAGGAAGACAGAGGCAAGTCTACAAAGGCAAAGAATGCCCAAGGGCACAAGCAGCCACCCAAAGGTTGGGGAGAGGCGTGGGTAGGATGAATCCTCTTTCAGTTTCAAGAAGGAAGCAATCCTGCCAACACCTTGATTTCAGACCTCTGGTTTCTACAATGGGGAGAAGGTAAATTTCTATTGTTTTTATGACACCAAGTTGTGGCAATTTATTACAGCAGTCCTGGGAAATGAATACAGAGACTGTGGTCAAGAGTATGGAAGGGCAGTGGGGAATGACTGAAATGACTGTAGCAGGAAGAGAGAGAACTGGATTTATGCTTAAGTGGATCTCTCTGGCTCTGTGTGGAGAATGAATGGTGGGGGGGGGGCGGGCAGAGAACATGCTAGAAGCAGGGAAGCCAGTGCAAAAGGTCTGAAAGAACAATGGAGCCTCACTGCTGGGTTCTATACCAGCTATGTGACCGTGGGCAAGTGACCTGACCTCTCCACCACTCAGTTTCTAATCAGTGGGCCAAAAAAGATTACCTCTCCTGTATGGCAGCATTAAATGATTTGCTATGTGTAAATGTCAAAAAGGGAACCTAGCACATAGTGCAGGCTCGCTGCATTTGCCATTCTCATCACGAAAGGATGTGGCAGAGGAAGAGAAGGGACAAGAGGACAGTTCATGAACTCAGGGGCTTTGGACTGGAGCACTGTAACGGATGGTAGTGCTATTAAAGGAGTGTGGGGAAGTGGACTGGGAGGAGAGATCATGGGCTGGAAAGAGTCAGGTTTGAGGTGTCCAGGAGAAGACCAAGGGAAGTTGGCGGGACTCTGCCCATTGAGAGTGGGCAAGAATTTTTTTTTTTTTAATTTATGATAGTCACAGAGAGAGAGAGGGGGGGGGGCAGAGACACAGGCAGAGGGAGAAGCAGGCTCCACGCACCGGGAACCCGACGTGGGATTCGATCCCGGGTCTCCAGGATCATGCCCTGGGCCAAAGGCAGGCGCCGAACCGCTGCGCCACCCAGGGATCCCGAATTTTTTTCTTCTGTTTTTTGCTTGTCCCTAGAGGCCTATACCTAATAGAATCTTGGCCCAGAGTCAGAACCCTGTCAAGGTTGGACTAAAAGTAGCAGGTTGGAAAGGTATCACCGAGAAGGGGTGCAGGAGGTGTGAGAATACCAGCATTCTCCTTCTGGTTCTTCTACCACGGCTTGCCCCACTGGATGTTGTTGATGACAGAGACCAAACATAAATACCTCCCTCTCAGGGATGTGTCAGTGCCTGTAACCATCTGACGCACTGAGACCCACATACCCTTCAGTGGCCTGTTCACACTGGCCGACAAATTCCCTTATTCCTCAATGATAAGGCATAGGAAGAGAGACAGAGAGATCAAGCTCATGACCACTGGGTGGGCTGGGGAGCACTTGTTAAAGAAAGGAACGGAAGATTTTTACAACAACTTTGGAACAAGCCTCTCTCTTGAGGCCACTGGGCCTGGAGGGATGAGGCAAGGACCCAGCTCATGTAATCCCACAGCAGGCCAGGCCAGAGGGCACACTAACTTGGTTTCCTGAACTAGGGGTTCTTTAGGAGTGGGCAGGGCAGAAAACAGCTAGGATGGGAACAGTGGATGCAGCCAAGGCATGGCGGATGCTTTACCCAAAGTCATGCCAAGAAAACAGAGTCAGGACCCTTAAAGGTTTTGCCTCATGCATCTGTTCAGCATTGATGACATCTTATCCTCGTAAGGGTTGTTCTCACCTAAATACAATCCAATTGTCAATCGTCTCAGGGCACAGTGTTCCTCTGTTTAAAGGTTCTAATGTGCCCCTACTATGACATTCCTGGGGGACACCTGATATGGAATGATGTGCTGCAGGAGACCAATCCTGTCAGGGTAGAAGAGCTCCAGATGCAAACACAAAGCACCCATGACAGCTACAGCTCTTGCAAACTGTGCCCTGGTCTGAACGAAGCCTTTCCATGTCAGTCACCCTCCTCTGAGCCTCACAGGTGCTGTGAGTTAGGGGACAGACACAAAGTCTCATCTCCATCCTTCTGTTAGTGCTAATATGGAGAGGGGCTGTGTACTCAATATAGATCATGTCCTTTATATGCATTCCCATGAACTATTCCAACTTCAGGTAGGGACACACGTAACAGCTGGTCTAAGGAGTGGCTCTGGGACTTGAAGCCTTGTCTGTTCTTTCTTTGAAGCCGGGCTCTTCCCACTGTACTGTGCCAGCTCCCTCTAATGATGGAACTGAGGCCCAGAGAGAAGTGGCTTCCTTGAAGTCACATGACCAGCAACCAAGCCAGGACCAAATCTCAGCCTGCTCTTTTTCTTTTTCTCTTTTTCTTTTTCTTTTCTTTTCTTCTTTTCTTTCTTTCTTTCTTTCTTCTCCTTCTCCTTCTTTTTAAGATTTTAAGGAGAAAGGGCACCTGGGTGGCTCAGTGGTTGAGCGTCTGCCTTTGGCTTAGGTCATAATTCCAGGGTCTTGGGATCAAGTCCAGCATCAGGCTCCCTATAGGGAGCCTACTTCTCCCTCTGCCTATGTCTTTGCCTCTTTCTCGGTCTCTCATGAATAAATAAAATCTTAAAAAAAAGAAAATATTTTATGGAGAAGCAGACTCCCTGTTAAGCAGGAGTCTATCAGGGCTCTATCTCAGGACCCCGGCATCATGACTTGAGCCAAAGGCAGATTGCTTAGTTGACTGAGCCACCCAGGTGCCCTTCAGAGCTCTCTTCTCAGGGCCAGAGATGGAACTATTTTAACTTCCTCACAGAGCTATGAAAAAACTGAAACCTCTCTCTACTAATTTCTCACCATTTAGTGAAACAGGCTTTCTAATCATCTAAGCATCTGTGATGGTTATTTTTATGTGTCAACCTGACTGGCCACAGGGTGTGCAGATTAAAGGTGATTTCTGGGTGTGCCTATGAAAGTGTTTCTGGATGGCACTGGCATCTGAATTTGTGGATGCAGTAACATAAATGGCCCTCCCTAATGGGCATTATCCAATCCCCTAAAGGCCTGAACAGAACAAAAGGCAGAAGAAGGTGGAATTCACACACACCTCCTGTGCCCTCTACCCCCACTAGGGCCTCTCTTTGCATCTTCTCTTGCCCTCCCACTGGGATTTACTTCATTAGCTCTCCTGATTCTCAGGCCTTCAGACCTGGACTGGGTGACACTACCAGCTTTCCTGCTAGCTTGCAGATGGTAGATGGTGGGACCTCTCAGCTTCTATAATTGTATGAGCCAATTTCTCATCACAAATCATGTATATATCTGTTAATTCCGTCTCTCTGGAAAATCCTAGTATGTCCTCAATGCTTTTAATTAGGAAGTCATTCCTAAAAGATTAAAGATCCACCTATCATTTTTCAGGCACTCTGCTAAATACTGGAAGGAAACGTTTTAACAAGACACAGTATGTGATGCCAATTCTTATAGCATTACTGTTGGGAAAAGATAGTGTTCTTGACCTTGACTAAACTGTGAGCATGTTCTCCTTTAATCAGGAGATTTTTAACTTTGGATGGCCATTGAGTTCACCTGGAGAGATTTAAACCATCCAATTCCTCGGTCCTAGCTCCAGAATTTGTGATTTAATTCATCTGGAATATAGCCTGAGCATTAGGATTCTTAAACACAAGAAAGGTTGGCTGGTTATTCATCAATGTGACTTAATTGTGGATATAAAGCATTTCTTTTTACTTATAATTTATAACTTGCTCATTTTCAAAATTAGTGTGATATAGCAGATGGCATACAAGACATAAAACAGACTATTTTAAGAAATATTAAAAATGGTAAGTCTCAGAGGAGAAGAGAAAAACTCGTGGGAAAGAAATTATTGAAATTAAGCACAAAATCTAGTCCTGAGCTTTCCGGAGCTAATGTGCCAAGAACAAGAGGGGTCATGGTGTCATCAAGGTCAATAAAAGGAAGGCTATGAGAAAAACAAACAACCCCCCCCCAAACCTATTTTCTGTCAAATAGTTCTAAGAGTACAGGTGAAAACTGTGCTGGATGAACAAGACAGCTGAACCCCAAGATGCTATGTGACTCCTCCACAGCCAGGTAGGTTGCTCCCAGATCAGCTAACAGCCAATCTGAATCTAACAGCTAAGGGCCAATCAGTTGGCCATTCTTTCCAGAGGTCCATAGGCTTACCAGGAATGATCTTTGACTAGGGGAGCCTGCAAAGAGGCCAGGGGAGATTGTCATCCAGCTATGTCACAAAAGCTTTCCACCGAGGCCCACACGAGGTATAAGGAGCCAGCTCTCCATAGGACCTACTGCATCCACGTTCACAGAAAGAGCTTTGTTGAAGCTGAGATGCCATATGACACACACATCATCCCTGCACCCCGGGACCCTGGGAGTGATTTCATTTTTTCTCTTTGAGGTCAAATTCTCCTCAGGAGACAGATCCTCCTTTGCATAAGACGGTAAGAGCTGTGGGTTGGAAACCCTGATCAAGGCACCCTGGAGAATGCCCGGTCAAGGGGGACTTACGGGGGGTTGTCACATTTCCTCTGCCGGAAGCGGGCTCCTGTCCCACACGTCCGGCTGCACATGCTCCAAGCGCCCCATGGGCTCCAGTCTCCGTCCACGTGCTCCGGGATGGGCGTCTTGCTCACACACTCCCCTGCGCGGCACCACTGAAACACAGCAGGGCAGGCCACAGGCCCCAGGGGCCACACAGCTCCAATGAATCCAACCTGCTCACTCACCAGATCACTGCAAGCCCCTCCACATGAAAAAAAAAAAAAAACCACCATGCCATCCCCAAAGGCTTTTTGTAATTTGCACAAAAGTAGACTCTTTCAGGGTATGCATGCTTGTTAACTCCAGACAGTCCGTCCTTACTCAACCTGACACCCATATACCTGTGGGCTTTGCATTTGGCCCTAATGCTCCACATGGAATGTGCTCCCCTGAATTTTTCTAAGTTGTCAGGAAAAGGACTAATTCACATGGTTCATGAAGAGACCCAAGCTTCAGCAAGCTTTGGTTAACGTGAGTGCGTCTCTCTGGAAGGCTGCGTTTCCTGGCTCTGGGGCTTTGCTTTGCACTTCAAAGCTGGGTTTGGTACTTGGAGATGACACTGCCAGGTCTGCATGGGAGAACCTTGGCTCTGAGAATAAAAGAAAGCCACTCGTCTAAAACAGAATTTCCCAAAATGTGTGGCAGGGACATCCGGGGCCCGAGAGGTGATTTGGTGGTTTCAAATCATGGCACCTGATTCACTCCTTACAGTAAGACTAAGGAGAAATCTGTGGCTGCTGGCCCTGAATCCCTCTCCTCTCCAAAACCAATCTCTCCTGTTAATGAAGATCAGGCCTTGGGCTAGCTTTCTTTTTTTTTTTTTTAATAAATTAATTTTTATTGGTGTTCAATTTACCAACATAGAGAATAACACCCAGTGCTCATCCCGTCAAGTGTCCCCCTCAGTGCCCATCACCCATTCACCCTCACCTCCCACCCTCCTCCCCCTCCACCACCCCTAGTTCGTTTCCCAGAGTTAGGAGTCTTTATGTTCTGTGTCCCTTTCTGATATTTCCCACACATTTCTTCTCCCTTCCCTTATATTCCCTTTCACTATTATTCATATTCCCCAAATGAATGAGAACATACACTGTTTGTCCTTCTCCGATTGACTTACTTCACTCAGCATAATACCCTCCAGTTCCATCCACATTGAAGCAAATGGTGGGTATTTGTCGTTTCTAATGGCTGAGTAATATTCCATTGTATACATAAACCACATCTTCTAGCTTTCTTAACCTCTAGTTAGAACTGCATCACATTGTTCTCATCCAACTCATTTTATGATAGCTTTTTGCATACAGCCAGTGATCCTGTTTTTGTATGTATGGTTTATTGATGAAAAAGCTTTTTTTTTTTTTTTAAAAAAAAGGATATTCACTTGTGTGACAAAAAGAGTCAATTTAACAAAAATATTAAGCGACTCTTGTATCTTATCAGAAAAAAAAGGAGAGAGGAGATAGAAGTGTTCCTCTTTGCCCAGAGTGGGTTCCAACGGCATTTCTGGAGTAGCCAGCGGAGCTTCAGGCACTATTGAGTACAGTGCAGACCACCGCCCTTCGGGAGATGTGCCCGATGCCCAGGAGACAGGGGCTAGGGAAGGGCTGTGGGAGGTGGGGGTTACCTTGTCTGCCCCACACTCGGTGCCGTCCAGGGGAGGGTCCAGCTTGGTCTTGCAGGACGTATCTCCTTCCACCAGGCACCACAGTCCAGCGCACATCAGATGCTGCTGACAAGGGAAGGAACAGAACTGCCTAGAACACCATATACAGGTCACTACTGGGGTCAGAAAGTGGGGCCCAATAACTGGTTTGGATTTGGAATTCAAAATGTGAAGGGAAGAAGGAGGGTTGTGAATCTGGATGTTTAAAAAAAAAGTGTATCATTCAACTGGTTCATTTTAACTCCACAAAATTCTGTGTATAGACTCCTAGGAGGGTTGCCCTCATGGGGATTCAGTTCGGCAATTCCTGCGTTAGCTGAGGGAGTGTCCACCGCAGGGTGCAGGCTAGGTGCCATTAACAAACACATATCTTCCATTTAATGTAGGAAGGTATGAGGCAGATACCCATGGGTTAGAGAGAGTGCACAGGAGGAGAATCTCCCTGGCCTGGCCTCCCCATGGAGGGCTTGCTGGAAGAGGCAGCTCCGTTGCTGAGGCTAGAGGGGCATTTATGCAGGCCTAGAATCCGGAGCTCAAAGGCTGATAATGAGCTCAGAGACCCCAAGGGGTTAAAGAAAGGTTTTCCATCTCCCTGTGGTTACCCACATTTCTAGCTCAGCTGACTTATGCATGATTTGTTATAGTATTTCACCTAAGGCATTTCTTAACCTGCACAAATATACAGTGAAAATAATTCTACTTCAACAACAGGCATTTAAAAACATGCCCATTTGTATTAATAGGAAACTTGCACGTAGACAAAGTGCTCAGGATGGGACAATTTATGAAAATAACCGGAGCAGACATGGCCAGTGTTCTCCTGGGCTGCCTCAGTCTCCCCTGCAGGACTCAGACCATTCAGTGTCTGCACACACTGGTGGCTGCTTCCTCAGTCTTTGTGCTGGAAGCCATCCTTTGACCACAGAGCAAGCTTCAACCACAGGGATGCAGCTGGACACTCCCTTGGTGGGATGGCTCTGAGGCAAGCTCCAGCTTCTCTCAGAGGGTCCCAGCAGGATGGCCCCATTGTCCGTGAGGTGGTCTGCTCACTGGTGCACTTTAGACTCTCCACCCTCCTCTCTCACTTCCCTGCCCCCTCACTGTGCTTCCTGGGATCACTTCCCAGATAAACTCCTTGCACCCAAATCCTCGCCTCATGGTTTGAAAATTAAGAACAGATGTACTGAAGGCTCTTTTAAAGATGTAGTACTTCCAGGTTGCCAAACCCAGTCATGGGAAAAAGGCCTAAGCTGGAGCAGGGTGACCTCACCCTCCAGGGTATGGCCACAGCACCTGTGGGTGCAACTTGGGCAGAGTGAGGGTCAAGGGTCTTTGCTCAGGACAGGTCACAGTGGAGCTTGTAAAGAGTGTACCCTGATTCGTGTTGAGGTCTGCCATTCCAAGTAATCTCAAATATCTGCATAGGATAGATGTGCACTGTGCTGTCTAAAGTCAAAAAATATTTAGAAGTTTAAGAGACAAAGGGAGAAAAAGGGAAGGAAAGCAGAGCTGGAGGGGCTTTGACAAAGAGCTCAAAAGCCCACAGCTCTTGCTCATTTTTCAAGTATGCCGAAGCTGCTCTGTGCCCTTAAAGAAGTTGATGATTCAAGTGGAACAGTGCACGTTTGGGTTCAAGAAAGCCCCTATGTTCCCATTATTGTTCGCCTCTCCATGGAATGGTAAAAAGATGAGAACTCTGAGTACAATGCCAGCTGGTCCCATAAAGACAGACTGAACCTCATTAAATGTTTGATTCCATGCACTTTAACCCTGGAGCTCTTTGAGAGTGTGGTGTCAGTGTGCAGACACGTGTTCATGAGTCAAGGCTGACCCCAGAGGTAATTTATGGGATAGGAGAGCTTGGGATTAGGAGACGCATCTGCCCCATTGGGAGAGAGAGGAAGAAGGCAGTGTGAACTGTTATGTACTTAATAGACAGCACATTCCAATAAAACTTTCCTAATCATCAGAGAAGAAGAGATGAGGTCAGGCAAAGATTTCTTAAGTAGAACACAAAACATACTAACCATAAAGGGAAAAATTAATGAATTATACTACATTAAAACAAAGAACTTCTATCAAAAGGCAACTGTAAGAAAGTGAGAGAGGAGGATATTTGCAATACGTGCAAGAGATATTTGTAATGTGTGGATCCAACAAAGGATTTGTATTGAAAGTGTAAGTAAAAAACATGAAACAAAAGCTCCCAAAGACAATTAGAATGATGCAGTATAAAAATGGGCAAAAAACTTGGGTACTTCACAAATGAGGGCATTTAAATGTAAGGATGGCCAGTAAATGTATGAACAGGTACTCAGTTTCAGTAGCCATCCAGGCAAAGGCAAATTAAAACCACCACTCAGGCGTCCCAGTGGTTGAGCATCCCTTCAGCTCAGGACGTGATTTCTGGGTCCTGGGATTGAGTCCAGCATCAGGCTCCCACAGGCAGCCTGCTTCTCCCTCTGCCTGTCTCTGTCTCTCTGTCTCTCATGAATAAATAAACAAAATCTTTTAAAAACCACCCAAAAGCCCACCATTTGGTACCTCTACACACCTACCAGAATGGCTAGAGTGACAGAGACATGAATACAAAGTGTAGGCAAGGATGTGGTGTGATAAGAACTCTCCTTAATTAATGATGAGCTTTTAAATTGGTTCAAAAACTCGGAAAAACTCCTTGACAGTACTTACTAAAGCTTAAGACATGCTGGATATTCTACTATTCATCAATTCCACTCCTACATATGCATCGGGCAGAAATGTGTGTATACGTTTACCAAAAACATTTTTTTAAATAATAAATTTATTTTTTATTGGTGTTCAATCTACCAACATACAGAATAACAACCAGTGCTCATCCCGTCAAGTGCCCCCCTCAGTGCCCATCACCCATTCACCCCCACCCCCCACACTCCTCCGCTTCCATCACCCCTAGTTCGTTTCCCAGAGTTAGGAGTCTTCATGTTCTGTCTCCCTTTCTGATATTTCCCACACATTTCTTCTCCCTTCCCTTATATTCCCTTTCACTATTATTTATATCCCCCAAATGAATGAGAACATATAATGTTTGTCCTTCTCCGATTGACTTACTTCACCCAGCATAATACCCTCCAGTTCCATCCACGTCGAAGCAAATGGTGGGTATTTGTCATTTCTAATGGCTGAGGAATATTCCATTGTATACATAAACCACATCTTCTTTATCCATTCATCTTTTGATGGACACCGAGGCTCCTTCCACAGTTTGGCTATTGTGGACATTGCTGCTATAAACATTGGGGTGCAGGTGTCCCAGCGTTTCATTACATCTGTATCTTTGGGGTAAATCCCCAACAGTGCAATTGCTGGGTTGTAGGGCAGATCTATTTTTAACTCTCTGAGGAACCTCCGCACAGTATTCCAGAGTGGCTGCACCGTTTCACATTCCCACCAACAGTGCAGGAGGGTTCCCTTTTCTCCGCATCCTTTCCATCATTTGTGGTTTTTTTGTCAAGAATGTTCATAGCAACAATCTTATCTTTGTATTAGTGTCCAAATTGGAAATTGCCCAGGGACACCTGGGTGGCTCAGTGGTTGAGAGCCTCCCTTCGGCCTAGGGTGTGATCTTGGAGTCCCAGGATTGAGTCCCACATCGGGCTCCTTACATGAAGCCTGCTTCTCCCTCTGCCTGTGTCTCTGCCTCTCTCTCTCTTTCTCTCTCTGTCTCATGGTAAATAAATAAAATCTTAAAAAACAAAAAAACAAAAAAGGAACTGCCCAAATGGTCATCAACAGAGAAATTATGGATTATGGTCTATTAGGACAATGGAAATACGGCATGATCCCATTTATATGAACTTCAAAAACAAGAGAAAACTGTAGTGTTGTGAGTCAGGATAGTGGTCACCTTTCTGTTTAGTTTCAACAAGGGGACTTAGTGGATAAGGCAACTTTGGAGCTGCAGCCTCTGACCTCAGCTTGGCCATCAGCATTGCCCTGGGTGCCAGAGCTAATCAGCTGCCCTTCTGTGATTTGGTTTCAGTACTGGAAAAATGGTATGGACAGCACTTATGCTTGTTACCATGATGCCTTTTAGATAGTTGGCATTCATGTTGTGCTTTCTAAATGACAAAGTGCTCTGCTGTCTGTCATCCTGAAGCTCATAACAGCTGGGGAGGCAGGTAGGACAGGGCTTTCTCTATTTTTTTTCCCCATTTTTTCAAAGAAGAGGCACATGTTTATGTGGAAGTCAAGGGCCTGAGCTGGACCAAAATTACCAGGCTGGGAGTTCATCAATCTAGGTTCACATCCTGGTTCTTGACTCATGTAGTGGCTCCACAGGTGTATTCACTCTCTAAAAAACTGAGCTCTAAATGTATGATCTGTGCATTTTTATGTATGCATAGTATACTATAAATAGTAAGACGTTTTACAGAGAGAGGGGAGAAAAGAAGAGAGAAATGTATGCTCAAACTGGCGATGGAAGATTGTCTGGACCCAACCTATCACAAGGTAGAAGCAGGAAAATCAGGGTTTCACCAAGAAATTACAAGGATAGACCATAAGTATAGGAAGTCATTCCTCCTATTAGGAGAAATACTTCATGGTGGGTAGTCTTGCAACTGCTGGTCTCTTTAGGGTGGAACACACACACTTCTCTCATAAGGAGAATTCTTGCTAGCCTGGAAATAGCCCTGACACTCTCCAAAATGAACATCCTATCTATAGCTGATTCCAGCAATAACTCAGAGGTGAACAACAGTAAAAAAGAAACAATTTATACAAAGAACTACAAATATGAAGGGAGAAGGTACAAGAGGGAGACAGCATTGAAGAATACTTACCAGATAATATCATAATATGGCTAAAAATAATGTGTAAGCCTATGGGCATTTTTTTTTAAACAGAGTAATTGTGTCTTTTTTTGTTTTTGCATTTGCAAAAAGCAAATATATAAGAACTCAGGGAAAAGATGGTCAGGTTAAAGGAGATAAAGTATCAACATCAGAATGGGCCAAGGAAGGGGAAAAAAAATCACATGACCGATGAAGACTGAGAGCAACATAAAAAGAGACACACCACTGAAC